TCCACCATCACCAACACTCTCCATCATCAAACACTCCTCCACCATCACAACAACCATCTCCACCATCACCAACACTCCTCCATCACCAGATATTGCTAGTGACAATAAACAATATTCATGATAATATGTTTCAATATGTTTCATGTTTTGATATTATACTTTGAGTTAAAATACCTGACTATTACAACGACAACAAAGAAAGAGAGAGAGAGAGAGAGAGAGAGAGAGAGAGCAGGCGAGCGTGGGTTTCGTTGTCATGGTAACAGAAGGGAAGCTGGGGGGAGTGGATGGTGGGGGAGTGGATGGGGAGTGGATGGTGGGGAGATGGGATGGATGGTGGATGGTGGTGGGAGTGGTGGAGGGAGGTGGATGGTGGGGAGTGGATGGTGGGAGTGGATGGTGGGATGGTGGGGGAGTGGATGGTGGAGTGGATGGTGGGAGAGTGGATGGTGGTGGGAGAGTGGATGGTGGGGAGTGGATGGTGGGGGAGTGGATGGTGGGATGGATGGTGGGAGAGAGTGGATGGTGGGGGAGTGGATGGTGGGGGAGTGGATGGTGGGAGAGTGGATGGTGGGAGAGTAAATTGAGACTGAAAAGAGTAGTGTATTGATCATGTGGAGAGAGAGAGAGAGAGAGAGAGAGAGAGAGTTTAAAATAAATCGTTACTACACAACTCGCTATTCTTTATCTCTCTCTCTCTCACGTTTGTATGGTGAGAAAACAACTGTCTGTCTGTCTGTCTGTCTGTCTGTCTGTCTGTCTGTCTGTCTGTCTTATTTCCGTACTCAGCTAAGATTAAAAAAATAAATAAGAAAAAATATGAAAAATATGAGAATAATAAACAGGAGAAAAAACAATAAAGTGAAAAAAAAATAAAAACAAATTTAAAATAAAAACAAATTGGCAAAAAATATATAAAGTGAAGAAACAAAGAATAAAAAAAAAACACGTACACATTTTTATCTTAATATTCCACCATAAAAAAATAATAAAACTACAAAAATAAAAATATATTCCACTATAAAAAAATAAATACAAAAAATAAAAATATTCCCTCTCTTCTTGTAAGCATTGAAAATTATCGAGATACAAAAATATCACGGAGGAGAGGAACTCGTCAATTACACAATACCGTCAAAAGGCAAATAATGGCACACGGGAGACGGAACTGAAGGTATTATAGTTCAGGTCATCAATACAGCTCAGTTAGTTACTGTGTTAGATGTACAATACCTCTATTCACCAGGTAACTGTGTAGACAAATTAAAAATAATATCTAGGATGTCATATAAGAAGGGGTGACATATATCTCTCTCTCACATACAGAACCAATGTGTAGTTTCAATGTCTTTTCGGTGTACAGTTTGTTAGGAGAGTGTGTTAACGGATTCCCCTCCCTCCAAAAAACGAAATTTACGTAATATTGTGGGAGCCATTAAGGTGTGGACTACGTGTAAGTACATTGATGCTGCGGATTGGAGGAGGAGAAGGAGGAAGAGAAGGTGAAGAGGGAGGAGGAAGACGATGAAGAACAGAAGGAGGAAGAGCAGGAAGAAGAAGATCCCCACGTGGGAAGGTCGGACAACTGCTCACCGAAACATCAAAGTTTGTTGAAGGCTTTTGAGTGTATTTGGACCAACGAGAAAAGAAGATTATTAGAAGTTTTACCGAAATGTGTGAGAGAGAGAGAGAGAGAGAGAGAGAGAGAGAGAGAGAGAGAGAGAGAGAGCCATGCGTAAATCTTGAAAAATACAGAAAAACTCAGATACTAAATAACAAACTATTAATAATTCCCAAACTTTGAAAATAATTAATAAAAGATCAATATACGTTTAGGGCAGTAGGCTAATAAATTATAGATATGAAAGAATAATTTAGTTTCTATAGTTTGAAGAGAAAGGAATAGCATTATATTGACCCCCAAACGCCTGGAAGCTGAGAGAAAGAGCGGTGGACAGTGGAACTCTATGGCAACTTAACGAAAAGATTTAAGGATAAGTTAAGGTCAAACATTTCTTCTGTTACTCCTGAAGAAGTAACAGAGTGATGCGACCTGGGCAGTGTGCTTTGTGGGGCTCGACAATATGGAGTGAACGCGGGAGCCAGTATCGTGTCGTGTCGTGTCGTGTCGTGTCGTGTATGTTGTGTATATATGTAATGTAAGTATGTAATGTATGTATATATGTATGTATGTATGTATGTATGTATGTATGTATGTATGTATGTATGTATAACACTCCCTGAGAAACAAAAACACGCTCCGGTAAGCTACCCCCGTACACACCACAACAGACTCACCAATTATCTTCAACATTGCAACTGTAATTTTTAAGTCCGAAAAAGAAAAAAAATCCGTCTGTATACCATTCCAGTCTTCTCCTCCCCACCATAGGATCTTTCATTATCGGCAATTAGCTTCTTCCTTCACTAGCTCCCAATCCCTGGACCAACAAGAGCAGCCTTATCATCATCCAGGTAATTAAAGATTCGAGAGTTACCTTTCATGCTCAGAGAATGTAGTAATATAATTGATTGGTGTTTCTTGTTGGCTGCTGAAAATGACTCAATCGCCATTACTTGCAAACAGGTCACGTCTATGCCCTTGAGATGTTGTTTTTTGTTATCTGTTAAATGTTATCTGTTAAGTGTTATATATATTATCATTTGTTTATATTCCATCGATTTGTATAATGTTATTGTGTAATGGAATGGTGATAAGGGATCTGGCTCTCAGTGTTGGTGAAACAGTCCATTAACCCCGCCGTGTTGGTGAGTTCCACTGTCAGATTCAGTATGGCAGATTCAAGCTAAATTTTCCCCTAGAAGATGATTTTTTTCCCCTAGAAGATATTTTTTTCCCCTACAGGAGCATCCCATGAGAGAGCACTTTATAGATGAGGACTTGACTGACTTCCCTACTGGCGTGACACAGTTCTGGCGAGAATTTCCTTCTTATAAGAAATTGCTGAAAAAAGAGGTGATTCATCTTCCTTCTCACATAACCGGCTGTCACCTCCTCCTCCTCCTCCTCCTCCCAGGTATCACAAATGAGGTGTACTCTTGCTACCAGGCTATACGTAGGACCTGACTCACCCCTCCTACTCACCCCTCCGACTCACCCCATCCCTCAACACCCATCTTCCTCCTCCCCCTCCTCCTCCTCCTGATGCAGACATCACCCCCGTCTCCCGTATAAGGATTCTGATACTCTCTCTGTCAACACCTTTATAAACAAGTCCCTGTCCCATCTTTTTTTTCCGTTCTGTCTTAAAGTGCTGAATTATTTCTTAATTTCCTTACTGATATAGCTATTGTCATCTCTAATACACACATGCACACACACATATACTTACACTTACACACACACACACATTCTCACCACCACACCACCACCACACCTCACCACACCACCACACCTCACCACCACATTTGAGAACGAAAGGAAAAAAAATGCATCCCATAGCCGGACAAGAGAATGAATCATGAGTAGAGGTAAACACAAGCGGATTCCTCCCCAGAGTAATAACAGCAGTCAGTAGGGGAGGGGAGGAGAGGAGGGGAGGGAGGGAGTAGAGGGGAAGAGAGGGAGGGAGGGAGGGGGAGGAGAGGGTGCAGGGGGAGGAGATGACTAATCAGGCAGAACGGGGGTTAAGAGAATTGGGTTCTGGGAAAGGTTTGTGTATGTATTTTACCTATATGAGGATAGAATGTTCACCACTGCGCGCGTAACACAAGAGAGATATTGTTCTAGGTTAGGTTAGGTCAGGTTAGGTTAGGTTAGGTTAGGTTAGTTAATTAATGTGTTAGAGATATTCGATAAGGTTGTTATATGGAATGGGAAATATGATTGAGAGAATGGAGAATGAGAGAGAGAGAGAGAGAGAGAGAGAGAGAGAGAGAGATGGTTGGTGTTAGTCTACCGGAAGAGAGAGAGAGAGAAGAGCTGTATGTACGGGCGGATAATATCTGGTGGTGGTGGTGGTGGTGGTGGTGGTGGTGGTGGTGATGGTGGTAGTGGTTTTGATGGTGGTAGTGGTGGCGATGGTGCTGACTTCCCCAGGTAGTAATGTTGCCAGCCTTGCGTCACCAGAGTTGAGTGTTGTTCCATAAGCAGTGTATTAGGTGCTGACAGTGTTTTGCCATATGCTCCCCTTGCGGTAGCTGAGAGGTGATACATGAAGTCAGCTCGGACAGAACCGTGATAATACTGTACTGGCTGGTTAGGTTGGGTTGGGTTAGGTTAGGTTAGGTTATACAAGATGGTAACCGAGGCAGCGTCACCCACAACTGTTGAGAATCAGGAAATGGATCACTACAAAACTTGTGTCAGGAGTGGAGAGGGAGGTGAAGGGAGGAGTGCTTGATAATGTGCGCAATATATCACCGTGGAGGTAAGTAGGAGGCTGGCCCGGCTGAGCCACACACTCACACACCCATCACGAATGCCACAAACTGTGAACTAGTTTAAACTAACAGATAACAGGAAGTATATTTTTGTTTGGCTCGTAAAAAAACAAAAAAAACTGCTATATATCATCCATCTTAAATACTCATTAATCTGGACGATATTATCATGAGTGTGGTGAGGGAATGATAGGTTGATGACTCCGGGGATTGGCAACCCCAAGGGAGGCTATAAAGCCGGGAGGTAAGAGCGTGATCACGTCACTACTCTTGAGGCACCAAGTCTAGCATCACACCCACCAGGGAGAGCTGCATCACCCCTCACGGTACACATCACCTCTGCTCGCTACCTAACCCTGGACCTCCACTCAAAGTTCTTTTGTAGAAAAGGAATTATTTAGTGACTTTCCGAAGTTGAAACTGAAGGAGTCATAGTGATTTAACTTCCGGAAAGTGTCAACTTCCACATTGTATTGTGAAGACATACCAGTGAACAGTGTGTCGAGCGCTGAGTGTTAGCGCTACAGTGCATCATGAAGACAGAGGATAAGAACAACAACGGTCCGCTGCGCGTGGCTGTGTTGGGCAGCAGACAGGTGGGCAAGTCAGCCCTCACCGTCCGCTACCTCACCAAGAGATTCATCGGGGAGTACAGATCAGACACAGGTGAGGACTCGGTCTCCTGGCCAGGTGTTCAAGCATTAATATAGTTTTCCTCTTACTTGTCAATACAATCACATCATACTAAACCGTATAATTATGATTTCTTGACACTTGTACCAATAATTTGTTCTTGTTGTTACAGATATGCTGTACAAGTGTGTGCTGCAGGTGGATGGAGCTCCTCAATCCGTGGAGATCATGGACACGTGGGCCAGCTGTGATCAGTCCTCGGACGCTCACCTCCAGTGGGCTGAAGCCTTCGTCGTGGTTTACGCCATCACAGACAAACAGTCGTACACCTGGGCCGCCAACACAGTGCAGGTAATTATCTTCTACACAGCCATAAAGTCATTTACTGTTATATACTGACTCCTAGCAGCTGACGTCATGAACTTTGTATCAAGATTGACAGCTAATATTGTGTTGTTTGATGTATAACTGAGGTGCAAGTTATTAATGTTGTCTCTTCTTGTCTGTTCCTTCAGGAGCTGTCAGAGCGGCGGTCGTCTGCCAGTGTGTTGATGCTGGGTAACAAGAGTGACCTGGGGCACCTACGGGAGGTGGAGGAGGTGGAGGCCAGAACGCTGGCACTCACTCATGCCTCCCGCTTCTCCGAGGTCTCCACGGCCGAGAGCTGTACACCTGTAGCAGATGCCCTCGACAACTTCCTTAAAGAAGTTAAGACACACCGAGGCGGCAGTAATGGGAACACCCTGAGCAACGGGTCCCCCAAACAGCGTAAGCTCTCCGTCACCAGAATGTTGGGTTCTCTGATCGGCCGTCACTCACCACCCCCACAACACATCACCGAACTCATCGTCCTCGACAAAGAAGAACGCAGCAAGTTGGTCAGATGTAGTCGACAGATCTGAATGATTCCTACAGCTGGTGCTTCTTCAGCCCAAAGTGAACTCAAGGACTTGGCCCAAAGATACATAGTGATGACCTCATGGAGCCCTTAACACTGTTCCTGAAGGGGGCGCTGAGGTGTTTATACAACCAAATATTTATAACTTAATGTTTTGTTCTGTGTTTTCGTTGTGATATTTTTGTTATTTATGAAGCCACACATCGTCGCGGTGATGGGCGGTAAGATGTGGAGAATTTTTATCAATAAGATGTTCAGCACCGATAGTGAACATAAGAGTATTTTAAGACTGAACATTGTTGAATACGGCGAACGAGATAGAAATGGCGATACTTCAGTCTACAATGATGGAGATAATGGAGAGAAGATGAATACAAATGTTAGAGATATGACGTCTTAATGTTGAAGAAGTGACGTCTTTATGCTAGAGATTTGACGTCGTAATGTTGGAGATTAACGAGAAAGACCTGAAGATGTTTTAAGAGATGTTGGAAGATACAGAACCTACCAAGAAACATCAGAGGGAGAAAGTGTTATGACCAAACCTGACATCAGTGCTCGTGAAGGCGTCCCATGCAAACAAACACCCAAGAAGCATCGCGGGTCCCTGTGATGAAGTTTCTCGTCGTGTTACTCAAGAACCGGATCACTGTAATAAAAAAAAAAGGCTATTTGAAGACGTGTATGAGAATTTATGAACACTGTATATATCTAGACCTCCAAGAATGTCATTGAAATACAAGAGACTACTGTACACACACACAGGGCATTCTAGTGTACCTACCACACACCTGGACACACCTGAATCTTCAACGCTGCTGGAACTTTTTTTTTTTATCAAGATTTCAGCCAAGACACCTCAATAATCATAGGAAACAAGAGAATTTCCCAAAACATAAGAATAATAATCGATTTTGAAGAGACGTGAGGAGGAATGGGGAGGCGATAGTGTTCAAGACTGGTGTAGACTTATGGCTGGTGGCTACTGAAGACATATAACTCCCTCAACTACGAGATAAATGAAGATATCTTGTGTTTTTTATTGTCTGTCTGTCTCTCTGTCTCTCTGTCTGTCTCTCTGTCTGTCATCCTCAATCTGTGATATTAATGTTAGTATAATTATCTTTAATGTATTTTTTATAATTTATTTGATCAAGTACAAAATGAAATAAGTGACAAGTCTTTCTTTATTCCTCTTAATTATTTTTTTCCCTCAGAATTAATTACTCAATGACGTAAAATAATATATATATATAATTCATGGTGGAAATAGTGACAAGGAAATTATATAATATACTGACGATAATTTTGACTATAAAAGAATTAATATATGATAAGAAATATAATAAAAAGAAATAAGATACCAACACCTTATACCAACACCTTATACTAACACCTTATACCAACACCTTATACCAACACCTTATACTAACACCTTATACCAACACCTTATACTAACACCTTATACCAACACCTTATACCAACACCTTATGTCAACACCTTATACCGACACCTTATACCAACACCTTATACCAACACCTTATACCAACACCTTATACCAACATACCTTATACCAACACCTTATACCAACACACCTTATACCAACACCTTATACCAACACCTTATACCAACACCTTATACTAACACCTTATACCAACACCTTATACCAACACCTTATACTAACACCTTATACTAACACCTTATACCAACACCTATACCAACATATACCAACACCTTATACCAACACCATACCAACACCTTATACCAACACCTTATACCAACACCTTATACCAACACCTTATACCAACACCTTACCTTATACCAACACCTTATACCAACACCTTATACCAACACCTTATACCAACACACCTTATACCAACATTTTATACCAACACTTATACTTTATACCAACACCTTTATACCCCTTATACCAACACCTTATACCAACACCTTATACCAACACCTTATACCAACACCTTATACCAACACCTTATACCAACACCTTATACCAACACCTTATACCAACACCTTATACCAACACCTTATACCAACACCTTATACTAACACCTTTATACCAACACCTGCGCTCAACACCTTATACCAACACCTATACCAACACCTTATACCAACAATCTTTATACCAACATCTTATACCAACACTATACCAACACCTTATACCAACACCTTATACCAACACCTTATACCAACACCTTATACTAACACCTGTAATATACCAACACCTTATACCAACACCTTATACCAACACCTTTATACTAACACCTTATACCAACACCTTATACTAACACCTATACCAACACCTTATACCAACACCTTTATACCAACACCTTATACCGACACCTTATACCGACACCTTATACCGACACCTTATACCGACACCTTTATACCAACACCTTATACCAACACCTTTATACCAACACCTTATACTAACACCTTTATACCAACACCTTTATATACCAACACCTTATAACAATGACACCTTTATACCGACACCTTATACCAACACCTTATACCAACACTTTATACCAACACATTATACCAACACCTTATACTAACACCTTATACCAACACCTTATACCAACACCTTATACCAACACCTTATACCGACACCTTATGCCAACACCTTATACTAACATCTTATACCAACACCTTATACCAACACCTTATACCAACACCTTATACCAACACCTTATACCAACACCTTATACCAACACCTTATACCAACACCTTATACCAACACCTTATACCAACATCTTATACCAACACCTTATACCAACACCTTATACCAACAACCTTATACCAACACTTTATACCAACACATTATACCAACACCTTATACTAACACCTTATACCAACACCTTATACCAACACCTTATACCAACACCTTATACCGACACCTTATGCCAACACCTTATACTAACATCTTATACCAACACCTTATACCAACACCTTATACCAACACCTTATACCAACACCTTATACCAACACCTTATACCAACACCTTATACCAACACCTTATACCAACACCTTATACCAACATCTTATACCAACACCTTATACCAACACCTTATACCAACACCTTATACCAACACCTTATACCAACACCTTATACCAACACTTTATACCAACGCCTTATACCAACACCTTATACCAACACCTTATACTAAAACAATAAGTTTGAGTCAATATTATAAAGACGGGATGGACAGACACTGAGCTAGAGAGCATCAGGTGTCTGTGGTAACAACTCTCTACCTGAGACAGCGAAGGTGAGTGACACACAGGTATGTTAATGAGTCTTGGAAAAGTAACACTGTACGGCATTTAAGTTTAGGTTTATTGATTACAAAACAACAGTATACACACACACACACACACAGACACACACACACACACACACACACACACACACACACACACACACACACACATACACATACACACACACACACACACATATACTAAGGGGGGTGCCCAAGCTACCTGGTGCTCATTAAGCCACTTCTGTATCTTCGAGGATATGTTTAGTTGGCAGAGGCAACAACAACAACAACAACAACAACAACAACAACAACAACAACAACAACAACAACAACAACAACAACAACAACAACAACAACAACAACAACAACAACAACAACAACAACAACAACAACAACAACAACAACAACAAAACAACAACAGCAACAACAACAACAACAACAACAACAACAACAACAACAACAACAACAACAAACAAACAGCAACAACAACAACAACAACAACACAACAACACAACACAACAGCAACAACAACAACAACAACAGCAACAACAACAACAACAACAACAACAACAACAACAACAACAACAACAACAACAACAACAACAACAACAACAACAACAACAACAACAACAACGATGATAATAAAAATAATAATGAAAGAAGATGAACAAGAACAAGAAGAACAAGAGAAAATAAGCTAGAAAAAGAAAGAAAAGGAAACAAAGAGAGAGAGAGAGAGAGAGAGAGAGAGAGAGAGAGAGAGAGAGAGAAATCAGGAAAATGTAGAAGAGAACAAGAAACAATAAAAGAACAAGGAATGAGTAGAAGAAGAAGAAGAAGAACAGTGTGGAGAGTAACAAGTGAAGGCTGGTGATGGCGTCTCAGTTTCCTGGTGTTTACTTTATATTACCTCCCAGCTCCCCACCACCTGAGGCAGCCAGCAGCACGTAGCCTCCAGGATGCAAAAACACACACACACACACGTACACACACACACACACACACACACACACACACACACACACACACATGTTCCTTATTCATTTCCTCAGTATTAAAGACAGTGAGCTGAAATTTGGTAGGGAGGTGCGGGTGGCCTAGGGGCTGTGGTCATACACTATCATCTGTCACTCCCCAACTAAGCCAAGTAACTCAGGTAATATTTCATGAACTCTGAAGATACGGAAACGTCGTACAGGTGGAGAGATTCACTATAGGACCATCACTCAGTTCAACGTCCAGTAATACGATTTAGCAAACATCCAAACTGTACAATACATCGGGTTTAATATTTTTCTTACGGTTTAACCCTTTGAGGACGATGGTTTAACCCTTTGAGGACTATGGCTTAACCCTTTTAAGATCGATAGTTTAATCTATTGTACTCGAAGGTTTAAAACACTTTCCTTCGCATACTTCACAGGGGTTTATGAGTTTTCAATATACTTCTATACATTAATCACGGGTGTAAATACAGTCACCCCCCAAAAAAACTATCTATACTCGGGGTGATCGATGAATTCCAGAATGAACACTGTGACTCCTGTTGTCTCGGTAGGGATGTCAAAATCCTTCGTCCGTTGTGTCATATTATCTCAACACAATTTTGTATAGGTAGTTTTTTAGTGACTGTACACACAACAATTTGTCAATGACTCCGAGTTTGTTTGTTCATTCTCGACACAACACACACAAGAGTCTCACTCCTCCTCTTCCTCAAGGTGATGTTGTATAAGCAGAGGTTATATTTGCAACACAGGTAATGGTTTTCCAGGTAAATATTGTTAACACCAACAACTAGACCTTCAGATTGTAGGAAAGGTTATTCTTCCCCTCCAGTGCTGACCTTCCTCCCCGCCACCCAGACAGTTCTAAATTAAAAATCTTAATAAAAAAATCCAATAATAATAATAATAATAATAAAAATAATGATAAATATTAGATAGAAAACAAAAACGTGATGAAAGAATAATGATGAAAGAGTTTTATAGTAACTGTAATAATAATAAACAATAATAGTTAACAGACAGTTTCTAAATATAAGGGAAGAGCTTCAAGACCTCTGAGGGATTTTTTTTTACCACCTTTTTGCTTGTCTCTCAAGTCATCAGGAGCTGTTCAGAGAAGACACTACTGCCAAGGGTTACAACAACTTGGCACCTATAACCATCAAACCATCTCTCTATATATTAAAATTCCATCTGTTGTTCTCACACTTGATCAATATTCGAGGAAAGTTATTAAGATTTGTTTAACGAGAAAGAGAACAAGTGTTTCTGAGTATCTGAGTGCCAAGCAGTGCCAGGAAACGAACTATAATGTCTGAATTATTTGGCACAAGCGAATGACATAGTGACATCTCTTAGGTGCTAAAAGTATCGTAGATGTTGTATTTAACTCATACTAAGTCTGTCTGTCTGTATGCCATGAGACACACGTGAACAGCAGCCTAGGTAAAGACTGAAGCTGCCAGCCTATACACCTGACGACCGCCGTGTGGGTCTTGTCATGAGGTCACCTGGTGAGGAAAGTGAATCGAGGTCTTGAGTCAACAGGAGTCGAAATCAGACTATCGAATAATTTTTTTTTTCAATGTGCTTTCAATGTGTTCCTGGTAACTAGTACTGTTATTAAGTGAACCTATTTAGTCAAGATGGACTTAAGTGCATTCTCACACTTACCCTTAAGGGGGAATATAGACACAAGAGAGGTTGAGGATAAGGCATTAATGTTGCCCATGAGGTGACAGCTGATTAATGATGTGGTTTAACCCTGAGAACGATGGTTTAACTCTGGGGATGATCGTTTAACCCTTTAAAGACGATGGTTTACCCCTTTGAAGATTATGATTTAACCCTATAACGATGAAGGTTTAACTTTTTGAGAATGATGA